TCTTCATACTCCTCTAGATAAACTTTAGAATTAAGCTGTGGAATTCCAAATGCGTGGTTGATCCTACTCCTTTGGCAGTTAGAAATTATATTACATGCACAGAACAGCAGGAAAGTGCACATTCTCACTCACATCCCAAATAAAATGTCAGTCATTTTATTTAAACCTTTTATTTCATCAGAAAAAAGTTTAAATTATAATTACTATTTTTCTCTAACTTGATTGGGATGTAAGTGACATATAATGTGGTGTAAGTTTAAGGTGCACAGTGTGGTGACTGGATACACTTCTGTGCTGGGACGTGGTCGCCACAGGAGGGTTCGGGACCACCCGCATCATCTATAGAATCACTGTTTCCTTTATGTGAGGAGAACATTTACGATCTACTCTCAGCCCCTTCCAAGTGTGCGGTCAGTGCTGGTCACTGCAGCCGCGCCCGCAGCACACGGGGGCGTCCCGCGCCTGGAAGCCTGTGCTCTGGCCAGCACCGCCCCTCCCACGCGCCTGCCCCGGCCCTGGCCACCACCGTTCTGCTGTTTCCGTGAGTTCACATATAAGTGGAATCATACTGTATTTGTCTTCCTCTGTCTGATTTATCTTACTTATCATCTTACGTCCTCACGGTTCATTCACATTGTTTCAAGTGGCAGTTTCTCTTATTCTCGTGGCTGAGTTCCACACGTTCCAGAAGTACACGACATCTTCTTTATCCACTTATCTTTTGACAGACACTCGGGTTGTCTCTGTGTCTTGGCTGCTGCGCGCAACGCTGCAGGAGCACAGGACTGCACGGGACTGCACACACCTCTCAGAGATCCTGATTCCGTCTCCTGTGGGTAGACACATGCCCTGGAGGTGGGGGGGCTGGACCACATGGCTCTTCCTTTTAATTTCTGAGGAACCTCCAGGCTGTTTCCCACAGTGGCTGCACCAATTTACATTCCCACCAACAGTGCACGGGGCTCCCCTTTCCCCACATCCTCACCTGCGTGTTATTCCTCCGCTTCTTGCTGACAGGCGTGCTACCAGGTGTGCGGTGAGATCTCACTGTGCCGTCGACTTGCACTTCCCTGATGATCGGGGATGCTGGCACCTTTTTTGTGCCCCTGCTGGCCACGGATGTCTTCCCGGGAAACACGCCTGTTCACCTGCTCTGTCCATGTTTCAATCAGCTGTCTGGGCTTTCTGGCTCTTCAGTAGTGTGAGTTCTTTACGTATTTTGGATAAAGCCCCTGTGGGATACGTGATGTGCAGACATCTCCTCCCGGCCCGTAGGTGCCTTCTCTTCCTCTCGCGGCCTGTGCCCCGTGCTGTGGGGAGCGGTCCCTTCTCTGGAGCCCCGTTCACTTGCTTTTGCTGTTCTTGCCGATGCTTTTGGTGTTACATCCAAGACATCCCTGCCAGACCGCCTCCAGGGAGATTTTATCCTGTGCTCTCCTATAGGGGTCTTGTGGTTCCAGGTCTTAAGTTTAAGTCCCTAGTCCATTCTGAGTTAATTTTTGTTATATCCTCTTGATGAACTAACCGCTTACCACTGTATCGTGACCTTCTCCATCTGCAGCAGTTTTTGAGTTAGTCTACTCTATCTGACGGAAGGGTAGCCACCCTGCCCTGCTCTTTCTCCATCTTGTGTGGAATACTTTTTCCCGTCCCTTCACTTGGAGCTGATGTGTGGCCTTAATGCTGAAGTGAGTCTCTTCTAGGCAGCATTTAAGTTGAACCTTGATTTTCCAACTATCCGGTCATTCGTGCCTTTTGATCAGAGACACGAGCTCACCTGCATTCAGAGAGTCGCGGGTCGGTAAGGGCTTCCGAGCACCATCTCGTCCCCAGCTGCCCCCGGTCCCCTGTGCCTCCCCGGCCCACCCGCTGCCCTCCGGGCGAAGTGGGTGGGCGCGCCCAGCCCTCCCTCTGAGCGCCTGCTGGACGGTTTCACTTTGTGGTCACCACGAGGTTACATCAAACCTCATGTCGACAGGAGTCTATTCTACACTGATGAGTTTGATTGTGTACAAAAACGCTAACCTTCACTGCCCGCTTTCATGTTTTGCTGTCACAGTTTACTCTCTCGAAGTGTGAGTTCACTAACAAGTCACTGTCGCTAGGGCCACGTTTGATGCTGCCATCCTTTCACCTTTGTAAGAGACTGGGGCAGCTGATACACCAGTGTTACGACATCAGTCTAAATTCGTCTGCGTACTTTGTTTTACAAGTGTGTTCCTTATATTCATACTTTCTCTTGCCACTAATTAGCTCGCTTTCATTTAAGCTTGAAACCTTTTTTCAGCATTTCTGGCAAGGCGGGTCTAGTGACGGTGAGCTCCTTCGGCCTCTGTCCGGGAAGGGCGTTCTCTCCCCTTCACATCTGAAGGCCAGCTTTGCTGGGCAGAGCTGTCTTGGTTGGCAGCTTTCCCTTTCAGCACTTTGACTGTATCATCTCCTGGCCTGTGAGGCCTCCGCTGAGAAATCCACGTGTGGCCTCTGGGCGTTTTCTTGTGAAGCTAGTCACAAGCTATTTTCTCTTGCTGCTTTTAAAACTTTTTTGTCATCGACAGTTTTATCGCTCTAAATCAAGTCCCTTCCAGAGCTGAAGTCAGCTGTTGTACAGAAAGCCCTCATGTTGGATTTGCCGGATGACATGTATTCTCATGAGGGGGTTCGGGCGAAGCATTTCCAGTGTGCTCTGCCCTGGTGCACCCCGTGCACGTCCGGGCACGTGGGGTCTCTCTGTCCAGTTACTGGTAACTTCGGTCACTGGGCTGAGACGATGTCTGCCAGACCTATAACTGATCTGTGGGATGATTCTTTCAGACTGTGTGAAAAATCCAGTTCCTCAACAACCTTTTACCCAATAGCTTATGGTAATTTACTGACATAGGTTCTCAAAATATCATCTGTGTACACGTCCGTGCGGTCTGGATATACCTACAGAACCCTGGGCAGCATGAAGTTCAGTAGCCTCGTCCAGCCATCCTCAGACTCCATCAGGACGCGCTGGCGTCTCAGACCTGTAGACTGACGTTTCCCAGCTCAGCTAGTGGGTGCCGTCAAGTTGAAAAGGTAGAAGAAATCATCAAATTGCACGAGTCATTCAATAAACGGTAAGAAGTGGTCTGTGTCGTGAAGGGCCCTGGCGTGACTGGCACAGGCGTTTGGGGGGCCAGGGCTGCTGCGGGAGGGCTGCCGCCTGCCGATACACGGTCTGGCAGAAAACACAGTCCTCATTTACTTACATGAGGTTTGGGTTTAGATTTCAATTGTTTATGGCCAAATGGGATGAGTGAGCTAGGGTGAGGTGTGAAAAAATTTTGAGAAGATTTAGGAGACTCACAGAGAGAGCTGGGGATTCTAGACTTAAACATTGAGACGGGCAATTACGAAGTGCCTGTTTGCGCAACAGACTATGAGGCTAGCCTCGGTAAGCTAAAATACTTCTGGGGGAGCGCGATCTGAACGACAGTGTGGGCGCGCGCACGGCTGGCCGAGTCTGCCGACTCTGCTTTATGTGAAAGCACGTGCAGCTGGTGTTTCCGAAAGTTATTTCAAGATGACGCAGGCAAATGAGTAAAGGTGCATAAAGTGAAGTGACTGCTGACTCTGTGATTCAGATCACGTCGGAGGAGGCAGTGAGCTTTTCTTACTTGAGAGCCAGTACATGCATCATGTCAGAAAGGACCACGAGCAGCAGAGAGAGGAGGCCCTCCCATCAGCCTGAGAACGGAGGCGGCATGATGAGCAGGGGAGGGCGAAGCACCATCCAGGGAAAGACCGCGACCCACTCAGGACAGACTGCAGGCGCGAAGCCCCGTCTCTGACGGAAGCCGGGGGGCTGCCGAGGAAATGAGGCCCACAGGGGAGAGGGCCTGCAGACACCAGGCCGCGCGGGGGCAAGGACTCTGAAAGAGTGGACGATAAACTCAGAAGAGCTGAGACCCAACAAGGAGGGCAGCCCGAAGCTTTTTCAGCAGTGAAGGGGGAGAGGAACTGTCCCAGAAACAGTGGCGGGGAGCATATTCTTCTCATCCAGTTGTCAGCAATTTTAGCTGATATGCTATTTCTTCTGTAAACTGGGGAAGTTTGGAAAAGACCCAGGTGCTGTCAAACACTGGATGCTCTTCGCACAGTCACCTGCGACAGGACCCCGTTCTCGGTCCCTAGACAACTCTGCTCCCCAGTCCCTGCTGTAGGGGTGCGAACGGCTTGAAGAAAACACTGAACAACCGCAGATTCTCCATCCACAGCCGCTCCACTCCTCTCCCGCGCCCGGCTGCTCCAGGGGCCACAGCTGCTGCGCCCAGGCTCAGGCTGCCCTGGCAGCGGGGCCGTCTCCCACCCTCTGGTCGAAGCTCTGTGCCGTGGACATACACGGTGTTTCCTGTGCTCACATGTCGCCTTTGATGGTGTCCAACTCCTGAGGCAAATGAAGCCTATTTTCTTGACGAATCGGAGGCACAGTGGCCCCCAGGCCACGGCTCTGACTTCCTGCCGCACACCCCAACGGCAGCGCTGCCTGGAACAGTTGCCTACGTCGCCAGGAAGGCTATCAGAAAAAACCCGTCACTGCACTGCTTTATAGTCAAGCCTAAATCCGCTACTTTAAGGATCCCTGTGCAGTGCTGGGACACCGCAAGGAAGCCCCACGGGGCGCAGCCCGCAGCCCACGGAGGCCAGACAGGGCCGCTGAACCCTGGGGGTGAGGCTTAGCGCCCCTTCTCCACCCGGAGTGGGGACTGAGGTGCTCACACACTCGAGGGAGAATCACGGGACAGAAGGGGCCCCTCACACGAGGGAGAGGAACTTCCCATCACTCGCTGTCCAGGTGGGGGCGCAGGCTAAACACAGCAGGCTCACAAAAGGTCCAGGCCAGCATGAGTGACGGCACCGGCACAGTGACGCCGGGAAAGTGACTGTGAGGAGCTTCGTCTTACTGACTTGAGGGTGGCCAGTCAGCACAGCACGGCTCACGGAGTGAGAGTAACACTGTAGAGTCTGGACCGTCACGGAACCAGAACCGCGGAGAGGGGCCCGAACACCAGTGCTCACCATCAGTGCAAACCCACGGTGCCTGCGGTGAGGGGTCTTTTCCGGACGCAACTCCCAGTCCCAGCGCAGCCCTGGGAGGGAGGCCAGCCCGCGTGGGCAGTGGGGACACTGTGGCCAGCTGCTGTCCCCTGCCCGGAGCGCCATGGCTGGGGATGGCAGTACCCAGACGCGCCAGCCCTTTTCCACGGGGCGCAGGGATGGAGACGGTCAAACAGGCCAGAGATAAAGACAGAAAGCAGGCAGAAGAAAGGGTGCGAACGGAGGTTACTTCTTTCTAAAAGCCTCACGCTTTGGGGCTGCCAGGAGCTACACAGTAACACGGGGTCACAGCAGCCTTCCTTCTAATTTCCCTTCCACTTCTCAGGGGACATGAAAGCGGAGGCTTGTGTTCATTCTTGTCTCCAAAGAGATGAGTTTATTTAAACACTTGTCACATATGGCTGAACAAAAGTTGAATTTCACCTTGTTCCAATGTTACGAACTTTATGATTTCACTAGAAAAGGAAACCTGCCAGTGTTTGCCACCCGGGCGAGCAGCCAGTTTAAGGCAGCAGCAGCTCAGCCATTTGGAAAGAGCCTAAAATGGAAGGAAGTCTCCGAGTCTCACTGCCCGGGCCCCGGCGAATCACCCAGGGGAGCGTGAAGGGTCGGCTCCTACCTTTTCTTCAAAGAATTTCCTCCTCAGTTTGGCATCTTTGGGTGGCACCGTCCTCCTCAGGTCTTGGTACCACTTCCTGACCACGTGTCCCCTCCAGCAGGCCTGGATCCTGGGACACAGAGGTTCCTCCCTCAGAACCCCGCAGCCCTGAGCTGGCCAGTCGGGGACATCACCGGGGACAGAGGTGAAGCCCCCCTTCTCGAGTGAGTCCCAGAGGCCGGGCCCCGGCCCCTCACCTGGCCGCGCACTTGGCTTTGAACAGTTGGGCCCCGGTGTGAATCACTCTGGTCTGATACTGGCTTCTTCTACAGAGGGGACAGGTTTTTTTGCTTGTGAACTTTTCAAAAGCCTGAAGGCACGCCTGGAGAAAAACATCTCACTTAAAACTGTACAGGTACTTACCTATAAGCAACATTTCACCCCCAGTGCAGTTACAGGGTCCTCCCCTTGCCGTTAGGAGACCTGGGCCAATTCAGGCTGTGCGGCGAAGGAGTGTCATCAGACGTGAGCACCTCCTGCAGGAAACCGGCTCCAGAAGTGGTGCTTCACAAGCACGTACACGCGGGGATGTCAGAGGCTTCTGACAGCGCCCCGTGGGCTGGCCCCAGGGGCAGGCGGGGGGAGAGCACACCCCTCTCGCGGACGGCCCCCTAACGACACTCCCGTACAGACTCCGGGGCGCTCTCGTCACACGGAGCCCACCGCTGCCACAGCGGGGTGGGCTGCGCTGTCGCCCGAAGCCACCCTTCTGAGGGTAAATGGTGACTGTGGAGGAAGCGAGCGCTCCCTTGAGGAGACCCTGGGAGAGTGGACGAGGCGCCCCGGAGCGGCGGGGAGGACAGGGGTGCTCACCCTGTGGAACACATGGGAACAGGACAGCAGCACCTGTCAGGGGAACAAAAGGATGGCAAGTTTAGGTTAGTTTAAAGGAGAAGCAGCAAAATGCATTCACGTAAAGAGAGGTTCTGACTGCTTAACAAGGTGAGCCGTGCTGTTTCTTTGAAACATTTAAAAAGCAGATTAACAGCTTTGGTATTTGCCGTATGGAGTGTTTCACTTTCGCACGGTGCAGGCAGGCAATCTCATCTCAGCAAGAAAAACGGACTTAACGACAACCTGAAGCACCAAACGGACATGTGAAGTTTGCGAGAAAAAGAGTGTGTGTTTCAAAATGAAACAGTCCCGACAGAGGTGTATTTCTGGGCGGATCCTAAGAGCCAAGCTGGAGGAGATGTGGGATCAGGCCAGGCGGCGGGGAGGGGCAGAGAAGGGGAAGCAGACACCTCTTCTTAGGACTTTGTTCACCTCAACTGCAACCTTAAATTTAATAATAATAAATCCCAGAGACATATGAGTCACTTTTTCTACTTTAAATGCAGGGCAAGTGTGGTCATAGGAAAACTCCCCTTTCTGTGACTCCAGCTCCCCACCAGTGACCCGGCCTGTGACAAAGGCAGGAGCTTAGACTGAAGGAAGGACAGGCAGTGGTTCCTCTGAGGCCTCTCTGCACGGAGGCTGGGCAGGACTAGGGGGGGGGCCGGGGGCCTCCCCCACCTCCAGGGAGAGGGAAGTCCCAGACGCCCAGGTGCCTGATGGGGCAGCCGCCCAGGCTTCACAGGAACCCTCTCCCCTGCCTTCACTCAGGGTACACTTTTCTTCTTAAGTGGGAAGAATGGAAGAACTATCAGAATAAACAGAATTCAGAAAGTTCTAAAACTTTTCCTCCAAGTTTACTGTCACCAATAAGCCTAAACTGGAAACAAGAAGGTGGGTCCTCCTCAGTGATGGCCGCTCAGTCTAACGGCCGCCTTTAGTGCCCGCGCACTCGGCCCTCCTGGACCCCTCTCAGGGTGTGTCAGCGACAGACGCCTGATGATCTGTACTGAGTAATGTTATACTTCTGGAGATTTAAAACGTTATACTTTTAAATGCCCCCAAATATTTGTTACTAGCAAATGTTCTTTGAGTTAACAAAAATACACGATGAGTGGCAGTAAACACGCTAAAATGCCCTGGGAGTTACGTCAGGTCCCACCCCCAGAGCTGGCCTGCTGTGGGCCACACGGCCTGCCTATTTCCTCATCCGTTAAACGGGTCTAATGCCGACCTCAGAGGCACCGAGATGAGCCAAAGCCCTCGCAAACCACTGAGTGTCGGGGCAATGCCAGCTATTGTTGATAACGGGGAAAACCTAAACACGAGAACAGAACCTAGAAATGCAAAACACGTGTGTATCTGTAACAGAACAAAGACACTGAAGTTAGTGAGACATTTGTAAAGAACAGAGTGGAAGAAATGGTGGGTGTGCTACCTCCTGACCACCCCCCCCACCAACCTCAAGACATTCAGCTGTAAGGTTTTGTTCTCACTCAACAATCAGGCTACTTATCGCGTAACTGAGAACGAGGCTGTTGGGGCCGGAATGGCTCCTTGTGGCTTTACTAGTTCTTTTGCTGCTAAAACACTAAATCAACCAGGAGGCAATTCTGTGCTTTAAGGGCTAAAATCTTTTCAAAATACCCAACCTTTACATACGTAAGATTAGGTCTTGGTGGAGAATTGAATAGAATGAGTATGTTTAAAATAACGTGAGTTCAAATTAGTAAAGAACACAAGTTTTATGACGATGAACTAGCTCATCAATGATGAAATGTACAAAAAAAATTAAGTTAAAGGTTTACGCGCCAAGGTAGTAAGTATAGCCTGGGGTTCCCAGGCTGTAAATTTTAGTCTGCTTTTAACTGTATTTGCTATTTTTAAAAGCAAACCTCCATAATGCTGCGTGTGTGAGAAATCATTATAGGGTGGCCATTAACTCAAAAAAATTCTAGGAAGAGCAGAGTCCCTCACCTCCAGAGGTTACAGTTTAATCTGGCAAAGCAGATCTAGGAAAGAAAACCTCTGACCTGGACGGACTGTGTGTCGTCTCCAGGGTCACTGGTCTGACCACGGGAAACGTTCGTGAATCGAGATGAAGCAAAGACCTCACTTAAAGAGCCTTCCACAGGGTCTTTGGAGATATGCAAGCTTGGTTTTTCTTTTATGATTTCAATTCACAAAACAACTTAAAATGTCCTTAGCCATCCCTCCGCCGGGGGATGCAAGTGCTCCTCTGAGGTGTCGCCACACTCCCCTCAGCTGCTCACGGCCAGGGGACGGACACTCTTTTGGTACCAACTTTGTGCTGGGGAGTTAGCATCACTCAGTGAATGACACGTTCAGTGAGGGTGCTCAGCTCTTTCTCACACACGGGCTTTAACAATGAAAACGAGGGTCAGTGCTGGAGGGTCATGTGGTGGGGGACCTGGGAAAAAGCAGCCCAGCCTCTTGGGCCGCAGCTCGAGTCTCGTCACTAGAGAAGGCCCCACCGGGCAGCTTAGCTACGCTTCACGCTAGACACCTGGGGGCGCAGTTCAAACTCTTCCTTGCAGATCGGGCAGGGCTGCGTGGAGTCCCCTTGCAGGACGGACCTTTGCTTCACGGTTTCCCATTCCTCCGAGGACAGTGGTGGGGGCGGAGGTGCAAAGAGGCCCAACTTCTGTGCTGAAGTGGAAACAACATACAGAGGAGACAGTCAGATGGATTGCAGAATACGGTACTCAGGTGCAGCTTCAACGACATTATCTTGTAAATCTGTAAATATGAAAGCAAAACACGCCTTACGTGCTCGGCCCCACCCTGCTGAGAAGCCTGCTTTTCTGCGGGTGCGCGGAAGTCAGGGATCACAACCCCTCACGTGGTGTTTTGTGTTTTTATTTTCACAGCAACTCCACGAGCTGGGCAGGACTGACGTCCAGGCTTAGAGTCCCACACGTACTGACCAAAGTCTTCCTCATTTCTCACCACACTTCCCTCTCGGCCTCCAGCATTGCCTTCTTGCAGTTCTGCCACCAGTGACCTTTATAAAATGAATATCAATCCAGTTCTCCTCCCGCTGAAAAATTCTCGTGCGGGATACTGGCGGCCAGGACGGGTTCCTCACCTGCGCGTGTCTGGTACCCAGCGCGTCTGCTCTGCATCAGACACAGAGCTTCTGCTCCCCCGGACAGAAGTGTGACAGCTCGGGCCCAGGGGAGGGGACGTGGGCACCGGTGTCTGTGGCCTCCACCGCCAGGCCAGGGAGTGGCCACGGCGCCGACCCACAGGGCTGTCTACAGGGACGGAAAGGGAGGTGGCACATCTGCGAAACGGGACCAGGAAGCTGCGACGGGAGCAATCAGGACACAAAGAAGCGCGCGTGAAAATGAAGGACCTTAGTAGAAATGTGGATGTCAACGGTAGGATGGGAAGAGGAAGCTAAGCAGAGCATCAGGCATAGTAGGAGGCAGACGGCAAAACCGAGGGCGCCTCGGCGCTCCGACAGCGGAAGGACGGGCGTTCCGGAGCGAGCAGGGGGGCGCGCGGCGAGCCTCCCAAGCAGGGCAGATGCTTCCAGCAGGGGTGACGCCGACAGCCCGGGTCCTGGCGGGAGCAGGCGGCTGGAAGGTTCTAGAAGGAGCGTCCCCATGAAGACACAACGAAACATCGCCGCTGTATGTTAATGTACTGAGAGAACTTACTTTGGAAGAGATTTCTGGGGACCAGCTGTGAAGACACGCTCCCAAACCACGTGAATTACACGGGTGAGACGCTGACCCCGAGGCTGGGCCCAGGCCGCGCGAGCGCCCGCCAACGCCACGGCCAGCTGAGCGGGAGGGCGCCGTCTGAGGGAAGGCTCTCGGCTCTGCACTAACTGACGTGCCCCCAGCCGCCTGCAAACTAAACTATGACGCGGCCTAAATGGGCAAGAGGCAAGCCGTCAGACAAGTAGAGAGACGGGGGCGTCCCCGTGCCCTCCGGACAGGCAAGGGTTCCTCAGTCCCCCAAAGCGCAGCAATGAAGAGGAAAACCCACAGCCTCCGCGGCGACCAGAACGAAGGACGCGCGGCCAGGGCGCACACAGACCCTGCACACGCAGGACGCCCTCCCACCAGGGGCGTCGGGGGCCTCCTGTTACACTCAGGGGTGCGTCTTTGGCGGGGAGGCCGTCCAGGGGCCGCCGTTGTCCCCTCTGCAGGGCGCGGCCCGCCCTCCCGGCCCAGCGCCCACTGGTGGCTGTCACCACTGTGGTGCTGGCCAGCCGGGGATCTTCTGTTTCCAGCCCCTGCCCACCGCCTTTGTGAGCTGTCATTCACTGTAAGGAAGAGCCTTTCCCATCGCTCATGTTTTTATTCAATTATTTCTATCAGTGTAGACTAACGGGCATTTACTTCAGTCTGTTCACTTACTGTCTACTTATCATTACTGTATTTTCTCGTCCAGATTGTCCTCATCATTTTAATTAGCAGTTTTATTTCAATAAATTCATTTTAAAAATTCTCATTTTTCATTGAAGTGTGGTTGATTTACAGTGTCAGTTTCAGGTGTGCAGCAAAGCGATTCAGTTATACATACACATCGGTATATATATATTTTTTCAGATTCTTTTCCATTAGAGGTTATTACAAGATGCTGAACACAGTTCCCTGTGCTCTGCAGGTGGACCTTGCTGTTCATCTGCTCTGTATACAGTAGTGTGTGTCTGCTAATCCCAGACTCCTAACCTTCCCTCCTCCCCTCCTCCCCTGGTCACCAGTTTGTTTTCTGTGTCCGCCCATCACCACTTCTAAACTTCAGTGCACACATATCTTCCTGTGAGATTACACATTAAAATAATTTCTGAAACAGAGAAATATGTACGACAAATCTCAACTAGAGTCTTTAGCTCCAATAAGCAAAACCACAAAGGCGAGACTGGCGTACCTAGCGTCAGTGGCGGTGGTTTTGGATCAAGAACATACTCCTTTTCTGGATCTTCCACTTTAGGGCCTTGGGGAGCCTTTCTACGTCCAGTGTCTACCACTGCTCTCGCATTTCTCTTCAGAGAACTGGACCTGTTTTCTCTCTTTTGTACCTTTGTCTTAGCAGGATCTGCCACGGAAAGAGTTCCAAGCTGAAGATCCTGTAAAATGTGATCTTGTAAAGCGACCGCGATGACAGCTGAGTTACCTTGTTTAGAAGAACGGTCCTGAAAAGCAGGGAAAAGCCTTACTTTCAGGACATGATCTAATGTGTCATGTACAAGAAACTCATACTGTAATGCTCAGCCTTGACAGCACGCTGGACCGATCTAGGAGGAGAGGGTGATCCACCCCTCGTTACCCGAGCCGGGGAGCGAAGCCCAGGCCCAGCATCCGTGTTACTGACGCGGTAACAGCTTTTCATTTAATTACTGAGGCCTTAATCGTAATATGAATAAGTGCGCGATGGTCTATAAAAGCTGCGCATGCCTGAGAACACTCTGTTTCACTATAATTAGACGAGACTCCAGGCAAAGCCTGCTTCTGTTACACTAAAGAGAATCTTGCACTTAAGTATTTTTATACCCTTTTTTGGTGAAAACTTATACAAAATAAAATTGCCACACAGCTAAGAGACACTTGCACCAAGTACACGGCTGACAGCTCTTCACTGAAGCAAGGTTTGCAAACTATTATCTTATATTGTCAAGTAGCTGAATTAAAATACAGTCCTGAGTAAAACAAGGGTATATGTTTAAAAAAGGATTGTGTACCTTATTTTTTAACATGCTGATTCAGGAGAAGTCCCTTGGCTGAATCACATTTTATCGTCAAGGATCACAGTCCTTTAATTCGTCTACTGTAAAAAAGCCAACAGAAGGTCCAAGTCAGCATGTACGTAACCCCTCTCGTGAAGAAGAGGAGGAGACGGGCACTGAGAGTCCGGACAGCGCCGCAGTGAGGGCGCCTGCGCGCTCTGGCTGGGGGGGTCAAGCCGGCCACGACCCAACTCGGCCCGTCCTCAGCTCTCTGGTCACCGGAACATGTTCATTGCAAAGAGAACAATACGTTGCTAAGTGTAACAGTGTTCTAGGTGAATACAGCATTTCAGACTGCAATGACCAGAGAAAAGTGAGTGAAATACCCCTTGAAGAGGTAACACTAAGGCTGGGATCTGAAGGCCACAGACAGGCAGTGGACTCGCCACACTACAGGTACAGGAAAAGCAAGGGCGGGCCAGAATCGGCAGGTGTTTAGAGGAGGAAGAAAACCGTGGCGGTGACTCCACTCTGCCCAGAACACGGACGTGCAGAACATGAGTCACCAGCGTGGGCTCCAGGCTTGCTGTTTGCTGGGCAAGATGCTCAACATCCCTGCACGCGCTTCCTGCCAGAAGACAGCTGTAACGACGCACTCCTCGCAGGGTCACTGTGAAGTATGAAAGGCGATGGCCTAGTAAAGGATCTAAAACGCGTCCTTCCACACAGAAGAGACTCTGGAAACTGTTCTTCTGGATCCCGTTCCCCTCAAGGCTAGTGGGAGAATTTGGAACTGACCCTTTCGTTTTTAGACAAGGGTGTAGCTTAGGAAGACAAGAGTCCACAATATGCCGGGCTGGGATGGAGAGAAACAGTAAACTGTTGAAGTCACGCAAGGAGTGGTACTGAGGGGAAGATGAGAAAGGAATTAACCCAAAATGTGCGTCTATGGGTCAGCACCTAACATTCAGTCTGTCCACCAAAGGAGCTTACTAAGAGTGCGTACAGAGTGAGAAAAGCAGAATGAGCAGAGTAAGGACAGTGGAGAGGGGGCTGTGAGATCTCCTGGGCTGAGCAGCTGCCAAGATCCCTGAGAAGCTGGGTGGCAGTTTCTACTGCAACGTCTCCCCGTTCCCCTTCAATTCTGGCATCGAGAGGAGCACGAAGGACAATTCCATCATGACAGTCTAGGCTGGAGAGATGGTAGAAGGTACTTAAAATGCTGAAAGATCACTACCAGAATCTTCCGCTTTCAAAATGCCAACCCCTGGCAGAACATAGTTCACGTCATCTTAAAGATTGCTTACTAACCATAGCTAGCTACCTGCAGTCTACAATTTTATCTCAAGTGTCTGCAGTGTAAGCCACTGTGATTAACGTCAAGATAAGGGCTTTTAAAAACTGTGCCCCTTTTAAGTCCGATAGTGTCATTAAATTTCAGCATTAGAAACTATATTCAAGTATTTAGTAAAACTTCATTTTTTTTGAGGTCTAGTCCAACTTAATTCTAAAGTGAGAAAGTATATCCAGAGATTAGCGCCTCCTCCAAACCTGTGTGATCAGTCTGCGGTAGTGGTAGGGTTGGAAACAATCCGCATCCAGTACTAAGAGCTAAAGTTAATAGGAATATTCTTTCTTTGTAAATTCCATTGTTAACAATTAGTTAAAAGAAGTAGGGCTTGGTGACAAAAAATACCATTGTGGTGCCAAAGTAATTAGTTACCGATTTGTCAGAGTGACTTTAAACTAATTAATAAAGTTGCCTGTTAAAAACACAGGCACACAAGAGAAACATACAGTGTTTAAAAGATGACCCGACACACTGTCCTGTTAGCCTTCGTATCTTAGGAAGTCCTTGTTTTGAATTTTTGAGGAGTCTCCTCCTAGATGGCCACAAGCACAAACAGACGTAGAGCTGCAGGCCTCCCGTCCCCGGTGTCCGGGGCGCTGGCTCCGGGGCCCGCGGGCCCGCCCGCAGTCAGCCCGCC